TCCATCCATCCATCCATCCATCCATCCATCCATCCATCCATCCATCCATCCATCCATCCATCCATCCATCCATCCATCCATCATCTTCCATTTATCTGGGGTTGCGGGGCTAGCAGCTTCAGTAGAGAGGCCCTTAAATTCCTCCACTAGGGATCCTCCCCGACCCGGAGAAGGCACTCTACCATTTTCCAGCTCAGGACCATGGTCTTTGATTTAGAGGCACTTATCTCTATCCCAGCCCCTTCACACTTGGCTGCAAACCACTCCAGTGAGAGCTGTAGATAACGTCCTGATGAAGGCAATAGAACCACATCATCCACAAATAGAAGAGATGCGATCCTAACACCACCAAAATAGATCCCATCTTGGCTGTGCCTAGAAATCCTGTCCATAAAAGTGAACAGAATCTGTGACAAAAGGCAACCTTGGCGGAGTCCAACTCTCATCAGAAACAAGTCTGACATACTAACAGCAAAGCGGACCAGGCTCTGACACTGGTCATACAGAGAACTAACAGCCCTTATTAAAGGGCCCAGGGCTCCATACTCCTGGAGTACCCCCCACAGGACCCCCAGAAGGACGCGGTCGAATGTCTTCTCCAGATCCACAAAACACATGTAGACTGGTTTTGGCAAACTCCCATGCACCCTCCAGGAACCTGCTGAGGGTGTAGAGCTGATCAAGTGTTCCACGGCCAGGATGAAAACTACACCATTTCTCCTGAATCCGAGATTCGACTATCCAACGGACCCTCCTTTCCAGAACCCCGGAATAAACCTTACTAAGGAGGCTTAAGAGTGTGATTCCTCTGTAGTTTGAACACACCCTCCGGGGGACCACCACCCCAGTATGTCAATCCAGGGGAACTACCCCTGATGTTCACACAATGTTGCAGAGTTGCGTTAACCAACACAGCCCCACAACATCCACAGCCCTAAGGTACTCAGGGCGAATCTCATCCACCCCTGGAGCCTTGCCACCGAGGAACTTTTTAACCACCTCAATGACTTTAGCAAGAGAGATGGGAGGACCCAAGCCGGAGACCTCAGGCTCTGCAATGGAAGACATGTTGTTGGGATTAAGGAGGTGTTCAAAGTACTCCACCCACCGACATACAACGTCCCAAGTCGAGGTCAGCAGCACACCACCCCCACTATAAATAGTGTTGGTACTGCACTGCTTCACCTCCTGAGATGCTGGATCGTGGACCAGAATCGCTTCGAAGCCATACGAAGCCGCACGCCCCAGTTTTTGCCTCAGCGACCAGCCAAGCCACCTGCCGCTTTGACTGCCGGTACATATCAGCTGCTTCTGTATATATATGTATGTATATACACACGTGTGTATGTATATACACACGTGTGTATGTATATATATATATATATATATATATATATATATATATATATATATATATATATATATATATATATATCACGACACACACACACACATTTCTAAATATACATACCTGGTTGAAACATCAGCTAAATACGA